TTTAGTTGATAGTGGTCATGTTGTGGAGAAAACGAAAGCATTCCAGATAATCCCTGGAAGCATCCCACTGAATCTTTCCAATAGACTTCGTATTCATCTACTGCATATAGCTGAGGCGATAGGCATTCGGACTATTGAGCCCAAGCTATGCATTCAAAAGAAGTTTGTACAGTCATTATCCCTCTCTTGTTGGCCTATTATAAAACCTAACCTAACTAACCGCCCCTTAATTATATTTTCAACCCCTCTCTTATCGCCTCTTGATCTTATCACGTCTTCATTAAAACATGATTTATTTACTTCCTTTACAATCTAGCATTACGTAATCTGTTCACATTTGTTTCTTTTAGCCTTTATCGACTGCTATGTTATTGGTAGAATCACTATTATTATATGCACAATCTTATTATCCTATTGACAAAACACTTTGATTAGTTTATAATTGAATATTTATTTGTAAAGTTATTCTGTATATTAGAGTTAAGCCTGATGAGGTCTAATTGAAAACAGTATTGCTCACTTAAATGTGTTGTTCTAAATTTTACAACATAAATATATGTTCAAATCTTCAGCAAGTTTATTATTGAAGAAATTGAGCGAAAAGCACTAGTAGGATGCAGTTTGCTCTTCTGCGTCGGTGCGTTCAGCGGCATAAATCATCGAGTGACACCCTTGCCTTACGTGGTATGGTTTCAACCCCCGGCCGCCAGCTCACTCCCAAACCTCACTGATTAGCCGGAATATTGAGGTTAAGCTTCGGTCAACTGCTGGGTAAGGGAGGTAAATCAATAGAGGAGGCTGAGAAGTTACATAGACTTACGTGGATAGGACATGTGTCACGCATGCATGTCTAGCCATCGCCTCCCTTCACGGGGAATGTTAGCTGATATAGGGTCAGGTTCGAAAAGAGCCAGTGGTGGTCAAACTAAAACATGGCTTCATCAGTCAATGAAATCTACAACAGTTATTTCAAGCCACGTAGGAAGGTGTAGACTTCCTGGTTGGAGTCCTCGGGACGGTAAACACCAATGTAGGCTGGAGACAATTGGTGATATGGCTCAAAATCCTTCTCAATGGCTGGCGCAGATGCATTCACTCCTTGTGACTTATAATACTCAATAAAACAAAATTATTCTTCGATATTACTATTCTTTTTGCCTCTTATCTCTGTTCACTGTCTCTATTTTGCATTTCCTTTTACTTTCTTCTCTTGCTTTGTGTGGTAAGGGAAGTGTGGTGACTCGAACTGCTGCACATCTGTGCAGGCTTCTATGTCGAAACCAATCAGTCAGTTATACCCTTATATACAAAAATATAAATGTTATCAGAGGGCAAATGATTTTCATATTAAATATTGTTGTTGTTAAGATTCTTGTTTGTTTTATTAATCATAGTTGGTTGTGCTAGTTTGTTCTCTCGCTCATGTTGTTACATGTCACCAATGTAGTCGTGATTTGATTAAGCAGCCTGGTAGAGGAGTACGGTTGGGAGTAAGCAAGGCTAGCAACTCCACCCGGTGAAAAAGAAGCAACAGCCTTGCTACTGAAACTTCAAAGCTGAAGGTTTAAGCCGACCTGTATTCCATATGGAACTCAGTAGAAAAAATAGATAATTTTTGTCACCATGACCCTTTTTCAGCTATTGAGAGTACCATTAGTATATTATGTGAGTATCCAGAGATGCAACTCACACAAAATCTCAGTTTGTGTGAGGAAGTGGGGTACGGACCAGAGCCACCAAGCCAAGTGTCACAGATTCTCTCTCATTCGCCTTTTCACTTTTGCGAGGAACACTCCCTTCCATCGCGTGAACACAGTGAATAGGACTTGTCTGGCTAGCAGAGAGGTAGGCTATGAACGCGTGGTTACATATTGTGAGAGCATTTCGGGAGGAAGACCCCCCACTCGGTCGTATCAGGTTGTTTACGGGGGGTCTGTGGCTTAGATTATACACAAAAATTGAACATCACAGTAAGGTAAATATGGAAAAAAAAGTTTTGATTAGCAGAATGTGTAAATATACATATATACGTATTCAATCAAAAAATTCCAAACACCACAGCTGTTGATTTGAACATTTCCTTAGCTCTTTTTATAATTGTCTATCCCATTGTTGATATTGTTTTACAAATGTAACCGTCACAAAAATACCATTTTATACATACATATGTATGTACGTATGTATGTATGTAATCAGCCTCCTTATAATCTTGGCTTCATCTTTTCTTCTCTCTCTCTCTCTCTCCATGCCTCCGCTCCTCCCCCTCCTGTTAGATATTTATTTATCGTTGACCTGGTTGCTAGCCGTTCACTTCTCATTATACCACACACCACACCACACCATACCACACACACACACACATCACATAGGACGATATAAATACACTGTTCTAATTAGTAGACAATGTTGTAAGCAGACAAGATTGGCGGGTGTTGGCGTTTGTGTGTGTGTGTGTGTGGGTGGGTGGGTGCGTATGTACTACGTATGTGGTGGATTCGAATTTCTTCTTGTTTCTACCTAATGTCTTTGAGAGTCTCATATCTAGTACACAATCTCGCTGTGTAGTACGTACACCCATCTATCTATCTATGTATCTCTGTATATGCAAACTAGAACACACACACACACACAGTCACACTCACCTACACCTACTTATATGTATGTACACAAATTGTTTCAAAACCGGATTATTCAATCAATAGTTTAATTTTGAATGCGTATAACCGAAATAAAAGAAATCATTTGATCAAGACGTGATTATTACTTTCTTTTCCTTATATGTTACATCATCATTTATGTGGTATCATCTATCCACCAAGCCAGCCAGCCAGCCATCCATCCATCCATCCACCTTTTACTTCCCATCTCTGTTTGCTTTTATCCGCTTTGTTCACCGTCATCATCGGTTTACCTGACTAATTAACGACTGTCACACTCCAGGAGGAGGAGAAGGAGAAGGTGTGAACTAATTATTCTTTTTCACCGCCGAAAAAAACCGCCAACAGGAGAGGTACAACCACAGAGAATGTGTTGGTGTTTTCTCGTCGTATTTTGTTTTTATAAAGCTCAATTCGTGATTTCTCTTTCTATATATTTTACCTCCTCCTCTAAATGTGTTGTTTGTTCTATCTGTTCTTCTTTCGTTTAATAGAGAGAGAGAGAGAAAAAATAGATAATAAGCCGCACCATTTGAAAAGGTGTTTCTTTCGTGCCGATTAAATTGTGTGTGTGAGCGTGTGTATGTGCTTAGGATTTCGGATTGTTTGTGTTTTATGCGTGTGTCTGTTGTCTCTGTCTGAAATGTAACTAATAACTATCATTTCTACGCGCGCGGTGGTCGGTCACACCCTGAACATTTAAATCCTCCTGTCGCATTAGATTGTTGTTTCTTTACTTGTTAAGTGAATTTTTTTTATTCCTTTACGCGTTCCCCCAGTTGAACATAGGGTAGCTTCTAGCTAGAGGCTTGAAGTTTCTGTAGCAGTGGTGTTTACTTTTATGGGATGCGGTTGCTAGCCTCATGTCCAACCTTCCCTCTTTACCAGTCTTATTTACTGGCTTAGCGAGGTAAAGGAGTGCGTCTGTGGCTGGGTATCGAACCCCGGACCATCTGCGTGGTCGGCAAGCATCCTACCACTGTGCCACCGACGCACTGCTAAGTGAATAGGATTGGAATATTTATGTGTTTACTTGGTGTATCTTATGAATGTATATATATATATATAGTTATGATTATTATTCCCTTGGGATTTCCGTCAAGTGGAACGTAGGAGGCTTCAAAAGCACATCTCTGTCTAATTCACTTTGTTCTCTATTGGCCTTTTTTACTGGCCTCAACATTGCTTAATAAACTGTAAGAGTTAGACTTGGTTTAACTTAGACCTAAATTAGCCACTCTTACAAAAACTTCTTCACCGCTTTCTGACCTTAGTAGTACTCTGCCTAATATGCAAATAATAACGAACTGAATCAAGGTAAAAAGACTTGAGATGACTAGCGTGACTGGAACAGAGTTATATTTACACAAAAGCGATATGAGATTTGATAAAGAATAAGAGGGTATACACTTATCTTCAGTCGAGACGGTGGTAAGCTCGGAGAGTGTGCTAGGTGAAAGCACAACGAGAGAGCGAAACCAAAACCGTACAGGAGATTCACGAATTGAAAGCGGAAGTGTGCTAAAGGTCAGGTGAGTCCGTTCAAACAAAAGTTTGAAGGTTCAATGTACACTACAAAGCCTTCATCTCATCGATGTCATTCTTGGTTCAACGCCCAACTCATCTTTTTCCATTCAGGAGAAGGAGGAGGCCTGGCGTATGATACCACTCAGCGGTCTCCTCCATCTATGTCCAATCCATCTGTTCCTGTTTGGTTCACTGAATACCAGAGTTGTGTGTTGTTGTTTGTTAATCTTTTCTGACAAGCCATCTGATCTTCAGTATGACTGACTGGTTTTAGCGCAGAACTTTGCACAGAAGTGTATCAGTTCAATTTGCCACACTCCATGTATCAAACAAACGAAGATAAAAGAGAGAGAGAGAAAGAACGATAATAGGCAAAAGTGTGAGAGAGAATGAAATAATAGTGACATGGAAAAACAATGGGGTTTTATTAGATATAAGAGACCGAAATGCGTGAATGTATCTTCTTCATTGAGAAAAGATTTCGAGCCATATCATAAATTGTCTTCCAGCCATGGGTTCTTAGCATTTTGAGGACCCTAACCAATCAGTCTACACTGCCCCCTCCCTTCATCACGGTGCCAGCGAAGATGGCCTCTGTTGATGAAAGCTGTAGTAGTCTAGTCTGTTGCAAACGCCTTCCGTGATCTCTAATACCGGTTCAGTGTTGAAATTTGAACTGAGCTCTAAACATTTTTGGGTATTCTTAGGCGAAGAAGTGTGTTCACTACTCAATTAGTGTTTATATGTTTCTTTTAACGACTACATTTTTCTAGGCTACGCTTTATTTTTACCCTCTATCATCTATTTTCTATTTAGAATTCAGATGCATTTGGTACTTTGAGAAACTATTCATCCGCTGCGTCTGTCGCTGCAGCCTATCATCATCAACAATTATCGTCATCGTCATCATCATCACGTTGTGCCAATAACAATAGCAATAATTCTATGAGTCGTGGTGATCTGTCAGGACATAACAGTTATGCCAGTAATCCTGCTCCTTCATCTGCAGGATCATCATCATCAGCGTCATCATTATCGGCATCGGGATCACTAACTCATCCCTCCTCTACGGCATCATCGTCATCTCCACCCCTGTCTGTACGATCTAGTCTACAAGAACTTTATCAACATCATCATCATCACCACCACCACCAACAACAACAGCAGTCGACTGTCAGACCACCAATTCAGGAGTTAACAACTCGACAACTTTTATCTGAAGCAGCTGCAACAGCGGCTTATGCACATGGCTTAGGTAATTTACACACTTTTAATTGGCTATTTGTTGTTTTATTTATTTATTTTCCAAGTTTCTTCACGGGATTAATATCAACTAAGAGAACCATTGGAAACCATCAGGGATTACTGGACAGCCATTTCGTCCTAGTTTGGGACTTTTCAGTAGTGCGCACCTACCGTCGAGGTTCGAAACGAGGAGCTTCCAGCTACCAGGCGAAAGCTCATATACCATTAAGCGACTGGGATTCGATCCGACCCAATGGCCCATGAATCCTAACTTCTACCAATGGGGGATTTTAGCGCGACCACCAGCAGATGTCATAGCCGTGTATTTGTCCTCACACTCGACATGGTGAACCCCATTGGTCATGCCTTCTCACTAGAACTCCAGTCAGCTTCATCCTGTAACTAGTGACTAGCGAGTATCAGATCAATTTTCATGAGTTAGTTTGTCAGGATTCGATTCGTTTCAATATCAGTTAGAGAAACGAGGAACTTTCAGCACTACTCACCCTCCAGGATTCGGACTCAGAAAATTACACATATATATTTATATATAAGGTTTATCTGCTTCAGTAGTTCACTGGTAGGATGCTGAAGGCAGCATCCATGCCTCATGTGGGAACTCCGGCATCCACTTACCCGCTCCGACAGACGCATTCCTACAAACATTACTGCTTAACCAGTAGTAGATAACCTGATGAAGAGAGAAAGTTTGGCGTGTGTGTATGTGTCAGGCTACCTGCAACTAGTGTGGCTTTCAATCTCTTGGATCAAGGGATGGATGTACTCTCATGGAAATGGAAATGCTTGGCGTGACGACAATTTGACTGATTATTTTATGTAGATTATACATTTCGAGGTGAAATGTTGCGTGAAGTATACATTCTGATCACACTATATGATCTGAATATTTTAGATTTCCAGTAGAAGTTGTGGGGTGGGGATATTCTACAAAAATGGTGAATTTTTTTCCTTATTTTATGCTAGCAATAATTCACCCAAGTAGCCTAACAAGGGAATTTCAGTAATTTGAATTGATTTCGGCCCACTGAGGTTGAAATTAATTAGGTGCGAATCCTAAGTGAGTACGAAGCAATTGCTCGGTGTGTGTTTAGACTGCTGATTTGACTTGGTTAACCAAGTTGACATTGGTGGCTTTAAACTACTTATTTCAATGAGTAGTGTGTTTACATTCAAATTCGTAAGAAGATTAATAAAATATGGACTTATCTGTTCATTACCACTGATCCAGGATGGCTGTTTGTTTTTTTATCCTAGTTTCTAATGCTTGTTTGGTTACAGACAGACAGATAGATAGACAGACAGACTGGCAGAATACAGTGTGATAGTGTTGTAGCTTTAATAGTAGACAATCTTTCATCTGCATAGATCACCTAGTTGTTCTTTTCTGCACTTGTACATTCAAAACTTTAGTATTTTCCTGTTTGAATGAGCACCTACACATGCTACATGCATTAACTTTTAAAATTTGTATGGTGTAGTAGTAACTTCAGCCAACTGATGTAACTACTCTCTGCTGCTATGCTCTTGAGTTTTTTCCTAAATTTGTGTGGTATTCGACTAGACAAACAGTGTGTGTGCGTGTGTGGAGTTCAAATTCACAAATCGCAATGTACTCACTTAGCGGAGATGAAATTTCACCACAGCAGTTTCCCTTAGAAACCGAAATTATTCAGATCACAATGGGCGTGATCTACTTGATACCATAAATTATCATCATTATTATTATTATTTCCCTTAATTCCAAGAAGAACATAGGGGTTCAGCAGCATGTCTCCATTGCTTTCGGTTCTCTGCTCCACGCCTGCCCATATGCTTTCATCTCCTCTCCACATGACCGTCTCCTCCAAGTCACCCTCTCATTGAAGATCAACTCGCCGATTCCCGTTCGGGCCTGTCTTGTGACGTCACTTGGTGGTTTCCTCAGAGTATGGCCAGCCAATTCACCTCCATTTCTTCCTGCATATTTGCTGCACAATTGCTTCCTGCTGAGTTGGTTCGCTCATTGCCAGACATCCCTCCCTGTTGCTAATCTTTTCTGGCCAGCCATCTGATCTTGAGTTAAGTATTGAGCAAAGACAGCTGTTGATGAAAGTCTGTAGTTTGTTTGAGGTGCTCTTCATGACGCGCCAAGTCTCTGATCCGCACGGATAGTAAGTAGCACTGACTTCACATTGGAGTTGAAAATCCGGACCTTATTTTTCATGCTGAGTGCTGTTGACCTCCACACAGACTTGAGAGAGAGTGATGAAAGCTTGCCTTGCCTTCCCGATCCTCGCTTTGATATCCTCATCAGCTCCGCCCGCCTGTAGTTGAAACGATGCTTCCCATGTAGGTAGGTAGGTAAAGGAGGTTGCTTTTTTCAGGTTCCTTCCATTTACATACCATAAATAGTAATCAAGGAAACAAGCATTTTTGCATAAAACTATATACTACTGATAGATTGCGATGATTAGTAGTTGTATACCACTCATATAGACTGGTAGGGCTTGCTAGCTAACGGGCACATCACTGATGAGCTTGGATGGAAAGCAGGAAAGCGGCCAATCTGGCTGGATAGCAAGCACTACTGGTTGATATGAGTGGTGGTATTACACAACTAATCATCTCAATCAATCAGTAGTGTCATCTATGGTTCAGAGGTGAGTGTAGAATGCTCACCAGCCTTGCCTCTCACCATGTGGTCCAGGTTCGATTCCCGACTGACACACTCTTTTAAACCTCATCCATACTTACCTAGCCAGTAGTAGTAGGCCCAGTAAAGAAGGATGGTTGGATGTGTGAGGCAATAAAAACACTTGTGTAAAACGAAGTGCCTACCACCTTTGAATGGTTTTGATCTTAGCGTAGTTAGGCCTTTTGGGATTATTACACCAACACATCGAGTGATGAATATGAGCAGTCTCACACTGCATAGAAATCTAGCCCTGGTGTTATGTTGTCGTTTATCCACTATGCCGCCAATGAGCCAAACAAATGCTCAAAATGACTGAATAGAGTGGCAGTTTTCCCTACATTATAACCACCAAGAGTTCATTTCATGCAGGGTGAAAAATTCAACTCACTGTAGTTTAGTTTGTTAGTCAGTTAGTCAGTTAGTTATGTGTGTATGTGTGTGTGTCCAGGTGAAATTGACATTATATATATAAATATCGATTGATTAGTTTTCATCTGGACAGAATTATGTCTATGTAACAGCGTGTTTGCTGCTTCTCTTATATGTTGAATTCCCGTAGGGTAGATTCTTTCGCTGTATATGTATGTATAATATGACCTCGACCTATAGCATACACATATAACAACACAGCAGGGGATTTACTTACTGAACCTGACCTGAATTATTGTGTTTTTGCTTCTTTTGCTAACTGCTGGCTGCTCTTAGTCTTCAGTGTATGGTGGTGGTAGCCCCACCTCTGTGTGTCCGGAGTTTTCGCCCTAATGATGATGATGATGGTGATAATAATAAATGATTCAGGTCAGAAAACCCTAATCTTTACTTGGAGGACAAAGTATCTAAAAAGATATATACGCATACATACATATGCGCGCATGCCTCGCAATCTCTTTTCTGCTGCTTAAATTCACCCTCCAATATTTTTTTCTCCACATCTACCATCACCACCACCACCACCCTTTTAATCCGATGAGGAGGCATGTGTGTGTATATATATATAAATATACACATAGATAGATGTAAACAGGCGCCATTCATTTGTTGCCCGTCTGTCATTTTCTTCAACCAATTTTGACATTTAAATCATGTGAGAGATGTAGCCGTCGTAGTGGTGGGTTACATACATACACACATACACAGAGGCATATGTACAATTACACAAACATTGATGTGGACTTTCCTGTGATCATAGTAGCCTCGTGCTTTGTTCACTGTCCAAATCTATCTTGAATACTTTTCACATATATATGCATTCATAATATTGTGTTATAATAATGTTGTATGCAACCTAATTCCCTGTTTAGTTGTGCGTGTATGTGTGTGTGTGTGCGTATGCGTCTGCTGATTCAGACATTCTCTGACCTTAATTCAATTCTAACCATTCTTAGTTTAGCATAGTGGCAGTGAGCTCTTTCTCTCTCTTTACTCTGCATATATCGATCAGAGAGCCGTATAAAATCGATCTTTCAAACAAACCAACAACAAAAAAAACGACGACGACTGAGCATTGTTGTATGTATGTATGTGTATGTTTTCTGTTGGTGTGCGTGTTTGTGTAGAGAGACATGCTGCTGAATTGCTGCCTCATTGATTTTGCAGTCTGATTAGATGATATACACTGAAAATGACAATCTATATTGGAAAGATGCAGTTTTTTCTCTTTCTCTTCATCTCTGAAATACATAGTCTCTTCTATTGCTTATATATGTGAACTGGGTGGGAGGTAAGTTGGTAGGTTCAGGCGCGTAGGTAGTTAGTTACTGCCTATTTTATAGATTTTTATTGTTTCAGTATGATGATGATGATGAATGTATCCTTTCCCTGTCACAACTGGGATTGCATAGCTGGATCATACCTCTACTGGTGTATGTATTGTACGATGTAAAAGTTGTATATGGTTATATATAACAATCACAGACATTGGGATTCTGCTTCAATTACAGTATCGATAGGCTTTTCTTCACCAATATATTTATCATATATGCAATGCAGCCTAAGTATGCTTCAGCTTCTCAGTTGTCGTTGAAGTTTACCCATCTTGGTGTTTCTCTCTCTCTCTTTAACTCGAGGTTGTGTCCTGGCAGTCGATTCAGAATTATTCACAAGTGTTAGATTTTCGTCATGAACCAGCACATGGAGATGGAGAGATTATTGAAAACCAGCTGGGAGCACTACAGAGTTGTTTCGTCCTAGTTTGGAAATCTTCAGCAAGGATCAAACTCAGGACTTTCAGGTTGTGCGAGACCAGGCTTATTCGTCGACTATATTTAGCCACATGGGCTGGAATTCAGTGATAAGGAGGAAGTTATAACACGAGT